AAAAAAAAAAAAAAAAAAAAAAAAAAAAAAAAAAGAAAAGAAATATAAATAAATAATTGCGATAAATAGTAAAAAATAAACAAATTTGGCATATGAATTTTATCTGTTGAGATTGAACCTCCCTTTTGTTTTTCAATGAATTTCCCCTTCGATGTTTGATTTATCATTAATTAAATATATTATCTTTGCTAAGATAAATATTCGTTAAAGTTATATTTGCAAGTTAATAATACTTTTATTTAAAAGAAAAGTAGTAACTTCGCAACGAACATATTCATTTAATTAGTTTCTAAAGTTCGTGTTCTCAAACGAATGAAACTAATTCGTTCGCATTAACTACCTTACCTTTAAAATATAAAGATTAGAAAAGCGAAGATTTGTTTTCTTTTGTTTGCAACGTCAAATAAAAAGAAGAATACGCACGTGGATGACCGTAAAGATGATAACATACATTTGGAATGTTAAAACGTGGTTAAAACAAAAATATGAAAGTGATTATTTTTTTTTTCATTAAAAGACAAGACAAGACAATTATTATATCAGTTCATTAAAAGAGAATAAATAATTTAACGATGAATTATTGCACGACTTATTTTTAACCGCATTTTACACGTGGAGCATATAATTTTACATGGAGGGGATTATACCTATTACAACGATTAAATCAAACTTTTATTTATGTAAGGGGCTCAACAAAAGTAAAGATAAAAAAAAATTGTTCACGATCACAAACGACACACGATTTTTACTTGTACGTCATCGGTTCTTAAAAAAGAATAAAAGAATAAAAAAATAAAAAAAGAGAGAGAGAGAAAAAGAAAATAGATAAGGGGCAGACAGGCAAAAGGGGGTTGTGTTTTTAAGAGCTTCTCGTTAAACTCATTAAACGATATATTCGACGACTGGCGTGTGTGACTTCGTATTGTTTGGATTTATTTAATAATATATATGGTATCACAATAAATCATAAAGGTGCTGTACACAGATGAATAGTACGTGTGGGGTGTGTGTATGTGTGTGTATTTAATACGATGACAAAGCTATATAATATTATATTTTTCTCCTTCTTCTTAGTATACTCTTCTCTCGACTCTCCCCTTTTCTCTTCTTCCTCGCACCCTCCCAACCTCTCTCTCACTCATCAGAAATAGGAACAAACAAAAATAAATATATGCGTTTTTTTTTTTTTTTTCATAAAATACGACGACTAATCTTTATCAATTATATAATGCACATATAAAATTAAAAAATATAAAAAAACCGTCCGGTCTCGTTTATATACGTTAAGAGCAATAATATTATACTGGCGACTTATTCGATATCGTCGATTTTATTAGCGTATGAAAGTGCGATGCGTTAAGCTTATTATTCTCCATCATTTTCTTGTCATTGTTAATAATATACGACAATGTTTTATCTTCGCTAAATTTCATCGTAGGACATACGAGTTTTGTTAGTTCTTCTGCTGTGAACTACGGGCAGGGGGGCCATTTTACGAGCACCAGATGACTTTTCGCAATCCTTAGATGGATCACGAGATAATTACGATAAAATCACTTCGAAAACACATCTGATTATTTACACAACAAAATTATTCAGAATCTTTTCTCTGTTTCTCTTCTTTGTCAATCTTTCTTTCTTTCCTGTTTCTCTCTCTCTCTCTCTCTCTTTCCATCTCTTTCTTTCGTCCTTTCATTCAAAGATACATTCATACAATTATCACGCTCACACAAAATCTTTCCCGTTGTTCTTTTACCCTCGATTGGTTCATCTTTTTTTTCCTTCTATTACTTTTTAATTTTTTTTAATTTTTATTTATTTATTTTTTTTTTATTTTTTTTTTAATTTTCTTTTTCTTTCATATATAATATTTCATTGTTTTCCATCCTCACCGATTTAGATATCTAATTGGGTAATCCTTTGCGGCACGCAACCGAAACACGGTTGGAAAAGCTAAGAGTAATAATAATATGCGATAAAATTTCTTATAGTTGTGTATGTCGTTTCTTAGTCACAAGATAAAACAAATCCAATGTGGGTTATTTTTTTTTTGCTTTTTTTCTCTTCTTTCTCTGTGTGTGTATTCCATTACATATATATATTATATATATATATATGTTATATTTACGCGTAGGTAGAGTAAAAATGTTTTCCTTCGATAAATGTTCCTTAAAACGCTACCAAAGGATTATGGGATCTTATTTAAATCCTCTTCGTGAAAAAAAAAAAATAGTAAGAAAAAGAAAAGAAAAATGATTAGTAGTATATAACGATAACGATAACGATAACGATCCGCCTAATTTGAAAAGGATCCGGGCTCGTATTATAATAATTAGCGGATCCATACAAGATATGCTCTTTTATCGTAGAGCCATTCAATCGGCACTCGAGATCAACTGATTATCGGTGTGTGCGACTACAGGAGACAAATCTTTTTTAGGTACGTCATCCTCGTTTTTACTATCTGTATTTATTATCGTCGTCGTCGTCGTCGTTGTTGTTTTCGTGATTTCGGCGTTATCCGCAGTACCATTTTGCATTACTTTCACTTTAGTCGTCGAGGATGATTTAGTAGCACTCGACGACTGTCCAGACGAAACTTTAGATGTAACTTTTTTAATTGGCGAGTGTCCTGACGTTGATGTTGTTGTGCTAGTTAATTTTTGACTCGATATACGTTTTGTTGTATTAGAATTAAGGGTTGTTGCAGCGGACATAGAACGAGTTGTTGTTTTAGTTACTGGAGAACTCGTAGTACGAGACATAGAGATTTGCTTGTTAGCAGTCTCTTTGATTTGTTTGTCGATCATTGGTGATTTTGCTGAAGAAGTACGCGACGTCTTGGTCGTGTTATTACTAGTCGCAGTTGTTTTAGATTTCGTTGCATTTGATAAACCAGCACCACTCGTTGCATTCGTACCTGCTGATTTAGCAGGTGATTTAGCTGCCGTTGTAGCGGAAGTAGGTCTTGATTTGCCGATCGTCGTTGTCGTCGTCGACGTTATCGCGGTAGTCGATGTTCGCGAACCCATCGTAGTTTTACTTGCACTTGTTTTAGCTGAAGCAGAGGTGCTAGTCGATTTGGTGGTAGCAGCAGCAGCTTTTGTGGTTGTCTTACTCAAAGATTTAGCATCGCTACTAGAAGTAGATTTCTTTTCAACCGAGCTAGTAGTAGTACTTCTCGCCGAAGCTGGTAAAGGCTTTGATTTCGTTTGGGCACTGCTTGGACGCGCAGCAGTCTTCGTCGTTGACGATGTCGTTGTTGCCGATGTTTTGCTAGCCGTCTTCGTCGTTGTTGTTAATTTTGCTGCATTAGTAGAAGTTAAAGATTTAGTGGGCGCCGTATCCAGATGTTTAGGACGAGCAGCTACACTTCCAGTCGCTTTCTTCGTCGTCGCTGTTGCTGCTGTCGAACTTGAAGATTTGGCCACCAAAGTGACATTCTTAGAGGGCGAAGTTGGAGTAGACTTTGGTGGTGCAGCTTTAGTACTTGAGCTGCCAGGCTTCGTTGATCGAGTCGTCGTAGGCTTTACTTTGGTTTTGTTGCTGCTTGCGTTAGTAGCAGGTGTTGCTGCTGTGACTGTTCCTGCAGCTAAAGCTGGTCTCACTTTTCCTTCTTCTACTTTTAGAGGTTCTTCAACTTTTAGAGGTTCTTCGACTTTTAGAGGTTCTTCGACTTTTAGAGGTTCTTCAACTTTTAGAGGTTCTTCGACCTTTAGAGGTTCTTCTACTTTCAAAGGTTCCTCTACTTTTAAAGGTTCTTCTACTTTTAAAGGTTCGATCACTTTCTGTTCTTCTACATCCTGCACCATCGTTGCCGGTACAGCCTCAGTAATGTCTACAGTTTTAGCAATATTAACAGGCTCTGCAATTTCTGCAGTTTCTATCATTCCCATGGTGGTAGTAGTATCTACGGATTTGGTCATTTCTATATTTTTCGCAGATTCCTCGCTCTCTTCGATTCCCGTAGAAAGGACAGTTGTCTCGGTATCTGTAGGCGTTGATAAGGGTTTTTCTAGTTCGAAAGCATCCGAAGCTTTTTCAATTACAATATCTTCTATGGGTGTCACAAGTTCTGTAGGCTTTGACAACTCTGTCGATTCTGTAATACCAACTGATTCTGTAACTTGTACAATTTCGACATCTTCCTTAGCTTCTAATGCTTCTTCTTCTTCTCCCTCTTTCGTATCTAAAAGTAAGTTTTCTTCGACAGCTTCTTGTACAACTGACTCTTTATGTTCGACAATGTTTTCGTTCATCATTTTATCTTCGATGCTTGGAGTCAATTCGGCCATTGGAGATTCCTCGGGTGTAAAATTTTCAGGCTCTAATTGTTTTTCTAAACCTGTAAATTCTTGTATAGATTCTGACAAATTTAACGCAACCGTATCATCGACTTTTTCAAATTCATTAACGTCGACTTCCATTTTGTCAGTAGATTTTTTCTCTGTAATATCATCGAAAGAATAAGATTGAGGATATTCGTCAGTTTTGTTTTCTTCGATGTTATCTATTATAGGCACTTCAGTGGTAGTTTCGTTAAGTTTTGACAAATTTTCAGTAGGTCGATCATTTTCGGAGACTGTCTCCGAGGCAAGCGTTGGTAGAAAAGAAGATGATTCTTTTTGATGATTCTCCGTTGAATCGGGTTGCTGCATTATTAGGTCCTTTGAATCATCTAATTCTGGCAAATCTAACTCAATCGTATCATCGACTTTCATATCGTCAGTAGATTTCTTTTCTGAAGAACTTTCCCACTCCATATGAATTTGTTTGTCATCCGTATTAATAATACATACGGATTCATCCATATGTTGCGATGGTTTCTTACTAATATCTTCGAAAGAACAAGATTTAGGATATTCGTCGGCTTTGCTTTCTTCGATGTGATCTATTGTAGGAACTTGAGTAGTAGTTTCGTTAAGTTTTAACAAATTTTCAGTAGGTCGATCATTGTCGGAGACCGTCTCTGAGACAAGCGTTGGTAGAAAAGAGGCTGATTCCTTATAACAATTCTCCGTTAAATCAGGTTGTGGTTGCATTGGAGAATCTTCTAAAAGTGATTGTTTCGATCCGATATCGGACATAACTGGTTCTTCGGTACAAAACGGATTGACGGAACTCTCACTTGGTTGAAATTCTTGAACCTCTGAGCATAAGTTAAAAACCATAATAGGACGTTCTTCCTCTCCTGTAGTTAATTTGAGATTTTCCATGGAAGAGATTAGACCGTTTTTCAAAGGTTCCGCAGATGTTTCCACGAGTTCCGCCGTTTCGATCGAAGACATACACGAAGGATTTAATTTTGACGATTCATCGATCGTAGATGACAAAAAGTTGTATTGATCTTGGGATATCGTAGTATCTTTGAAAATTTCCGATTGAATTAAATCCGTTGCAATTTCGACTGATTTATCTACGATAAGCTCGCTGTTGTCCTTGCCCAAAATAATATCGTCGTTTGCCGCGATATCTTTTTCATCGTCGACGTATTCCGCTTCTTTGTGAGTTTCCGCTCGTTCGGTTTCTTTTTCTTCTTCCTCTTCCTTTTCTTTTTCCTCTTCTTCTTCTCGTTGTCCAACACTCATCGCCTCTTCCTTATTTTCTAACAAATCGAAAGATTTATTATCCTGTTTTTTCGAAAAATCGTGCTCGAATGATGTATCGAGTGGAGACGACGACGGATGATGCTCCAATTCAACTTGAATAAATTCTGTATTTTTCGGTTCAACAGAATCTTGAAGCTTTAGGAAAGTGTTATTATCGTCCTTTGACAATAAAGATGACGTTTGCATTTCATTAGAATCTCCGTTTGATAATATATCCAATTCAATACGACGTCCCAAATCCGTCGCTTTTGGGGACTGGAAGGAAGTTTGTATTTCGGAAGAATAATTTTCATCTTCTAAATCTTCATCGCTTAGATCATGAACAGCATTTAAATCGACTTCTTTATTAAACGCTGCTTTGAAATCGCACGGAGTATAAGAAATTGTCATTGGATTATCTCTATTATAAATATCGCAATCGGAATCCCCAAAGGACTCTTCTCCCATCGTTGAGATATCAGTTTTATGTACATCTGTACTTGTTGTACATAAAAAGTTTATCGTATCATCTCCATATTCGGCTTTGGTGGAAGAGATTTCAGATTCGTCTAGACCAGCGGCGGCGGTAGCAGTTGCGGTTGCTGGGTTCATTATTTTCTGTTGTTCCGTATAAAAATCATAATCGGAATGGGCTGCATGATTGCCATTAGACGATGATTCTTTTTCATCGATTTCATGAGGCCTAGCAGATATTTCCTCGTCAAATTCTTGTTGGCTCGGTATCATTATATCGTCCATCATTGTTGTTTTCATAGGAGAGCCTGCAACGAAACTATCATTTATCGCCCTGATTTTAACCGTACACTTTGGCGACGAGACCGGAACAAATTCCGCCGCGTTAGGATTCAGTTGAGAATCCATATTTTTTTCTTCCTCTTCTTCTTCTTCTTGTTTATTATAATATTCTTCCTCTTCTTCTCGTTTATACTCTTCCTCCTCCTCTTCTTCTCGTTTATACTCTTTATCCTCGTCGCTTCCTTCGTTTCTTTTTTCTTCTTCTTCTTTTTCTTCTTTCTTTTCAACTTCGTTCAGGAACGCGGAGTCAATTCGTTTTTCTTCGATGCCAATCTGAAAATATACAAAAAGAAAAAATAATTAGATTGAAATTTTATGTACATCGCGTTAGATGAAATTGATTTTTTTTAATAAAACAAATTCGATGAAACACATATGTTTCAATCAGTCGTTCGTCTTACATCAGTGTTACTAAGCTCGGGTAATACTTCTTCCCCTTTTTGACTCTCGCATTCGCTGCTACTGCTGCTGCTTCTGCTGCTGCTGCTGTTATTATGCTCGGATGTTGGAAACCGAGATAATTCTTCTACGTTATTATCTTCGTCGAGGTGTTCAACGTTCTTAATTTCGTTGTCGTTCTTTATTTCGCGGAGCTCTTCGGAAGTTGCAGCAGTATCTTTCTCTTTGTTTGGCCCAACGCGATAGTAATTCCACTCGTCCTCGGAATCCTCGCTATCCGCTACATTATCCGCTTCGGGTAACAATGCATGCTGAAGAGCTTCTGCAATAGGAATAAAAACGAATTAACAATCGATATATATATGCTATAGTTAAGATTTAACCTTTCATGGAGTATTAATTGTAATAACATAATTATATATTCCAATAGTAATAGTATATGCTACTACCTTGAAATCATGTAATTTTCGTCAAACACATTTTTTCTATTACCAATAGCAATCGAATATTAGATTTAAATGCATACGAATATAATAGCTTATATTTACTAAATATTACAACAAATTTTTAATAGGGTGAAACGAAAAAAACATTTTCAAACTGAATAATCTAATAAAATCTAACATATATGAACATACGCCTACACATATACATATATTCAACAATGAAATGTAGAAAGTTAAAGAGATGAGTTTTTTTTCGTTGCTTTTACAAGACGTAATGCATTTCATAAGAACAGTGATACGGTAGGGTAAAGAATCCTACACTATTTAATGCACGGCTGCACTTGTATGCACATAATACGCATCTTACATATCTCGAGAATAAAAGGATTTATATTTTCCAAGAAACCATATAAATAATGAATTCATCTAAACCACTACCTGTTCACAAACTTTACACAATGTCTCAATTTAAAATCATCGCGATAATTTTTGTTATATTCGTAATAAAAGATAAATTTAAAATAGAAGTAAGAAGAGTTATTCGATGAAATCTAGGATTGGACGACGACGATGCAACGACGCTAGCAGCAAGCCGAGAACCCAGCAGAGAGCCACGCCTTATTATCGAAAAAAAAAAAATCGAACAACTACAAATCGACGAAAAAGAAATTCGTCATCCTTTTTAAATCTCACTAAAAAAAGAATCTAACTTAGAGTTTAAAATTAAACGACGAGATTTTTTCTTTTTTTTTTTTTTTTAAACTAACACATTATTTTCACCACAATAGTCACCCTTTATTACTCAATAACGAATCTATTCGCAACCTTGGAATCGTGATGTGAATTAACGTAGTAGAAAGAGTACTCTGACCGAGAATACCGATAAAAAATTAAAAAAAAATAAAAAAGAAAGCGAATTGACTAAAGTCTAGACAGAAATATCTCGATTCTTGGCACAGAGGAATGAGTACGATAAACGATCGATTGACCTTTTAAAGGTAACACGAGCAACCACCACCACCACCACCACAACCACCACCACTACCCACCACCATCATCCATCACTTTCTTTTAGTAAGTTTAATATGTAGTCATAGTCTCGGGGAATACGCGATAACGAATTCGAATGACATGTAAAAACGTATTACTACTCACAATGTAATTCGAAGAGTATATCAACGAGTATAAGAGAGACAGGTAGAGAGAGAGAAATAATGAAAAGGAGAAGGGGAGAGAGAAAGATAAAGAGAGAGAGAGAGAGAGAGAGAGAGAAAAAAAGAAAGAGAGAATGATATAACTCCTCGGGAGGAACGATCAGCAGAACACTAAGAGAGGAACTACGCCCGTCAAGAGATGCATTATCGATCTAGTCTGGAGCCACCTTCTCTAGCTCCGTCCCTGGCACCACCCACCTGTGCACCACCGTATAGCAACAGTCGCACCTCATTTCCCGTAGGAACTACCACCCATGTCCCAGGGATTGATCCTTATCGAAGAGATGCGCAGCAACCTATTGTTGGAGGTTTTCTTTTTTTCCCCCTCCCCTTCCTCGCCTACCACCAACCCTTTTTCAAAATGACCTTTTCCATTACCAAATTATAATTATATATATCTATAATCTCTAGAGTCGCGTGTACAGTAATTCTATTATACTGTTATCATAGATATATATAAAAGACACATAATATAATATACAAATGCGTTTGAAATAATAGAATTACGTAGAAAGAGGATAAATGAAAAGCTTCTCCCTGCGGTCCCAGACAGAAAAGAAAGTAATCATGAAAATCCTTCGTGTGTAGGGCGGAAAGGGAGGGGCAGGCACTCCTAACGGCAGCGTAGGGCTTAAAATGCTCCTCCTCGTCGTCGTCGTCATCGTCTGTGACGTATGCTTGGAGAAACAGGCTTAAGGGATGTTTAAAAAAGGAACCGCCCACGCGAAGAACACATTCGCTTAACTCGTTATCCGACTCTTAATTTCAACTTCTCTGTATAACTACTACTATCATCATCATCACCACCACCACCACCACCATTGCTACCACACAAATGCGATAACATGTATATGTTATACTTTTCTATCGATTCGAGAGTTATCTACTAACTTCTTTTCTTTTTTTTCCTCTTTTTTTCTAGATACGAAGGAAAAATTGTTGTAGGAATTTCGAAGAAGCGACTAATAAAACTGCACAAGTGTATCAAAGATATATATATATATATATATATATATACCTTTGATATACCTCTATGTATATAGATATATATACCTTCGCAATGATTTATAGTCTATGCTATTATGGAATACACCGAGAAGCCATAAAATATCGTCGTCTATAAGGCACTCCTTCCCTCCCCCTCTCACTCCCACCACCTTCCGTTGTTTCTTTTTAACTGGCACGCATGTCGTTAACTAGATTTTAATGCGCGTGACACGCGTGGGAAACAAAATACAAATTACAAGATTATGTTGTTTACATTCTTCTTAGTTAAATGAAAATAGGGATAGAATTTTGTTATATTATTTATTTTTATATTGTATACCACTTATTTACATATATGCGTATATATATTATCAACATCTACTTCCGTTTCTTTTTTATCTTATCGATTGGCCAATTTGATCGATGATGTCTTAACCCTTCGAGGTCACAAAATGTCGTATTTATTACGTACTTATCGAGTTTTTATCTCCCTTTAACGAGATCGATTATAATAGTCATGTAGGAAAAGGGAATGGGAAAGGAGAAAGGAAGAGGGAGAGAATAAGAGGAAGAAAGATAAAATGGCTCGTTTCGTCTCTTTCTTTTGTTTGTACGTATAGTATACACCCAGCCAAGAAAGAAAAATATACGAGGAGGGGCTCGTTGAAAAAGGGCTCTCCTCTCTCTCATTCGGTCCTTTTATTTGACTCCTCCCTTTTACCATTTTCCCCGAGTTTCTATGTTTCAATGCAATGTGTATCGGTCGCGCGTGCGGAGAGTGTAAGGCTAATTTTAAACTAACATCAAGAAGGAAGAAAGGAAGGAAGGAAGGAAAGAAAGAAAGAAAGGAAGGAAGGAAGGAAGGAAGGAAGGAAAAAAGAGAGATTCAAATATTTCAATAGCGTTTTTCATTCAAAAAGTTAGCCCTTTTTTTCAATCCATTTATATTTTTTAATCTTATTCTTTTTCCTTTTCTTTCTTTTCCTTCTTTCTCTTGTAATTAATTTGCAAAAAGTATCCGAAAGAAAGAAAGTACAAAAAATTTCGACGAAAATCAAAAGATTCGATGTCGGTCAGGCAACGACGTTGTTAAAAGCGTGGAAGAGGGTATTCTAAATTTAGAGCAAAGCTCGTCTTCGTGAAATTCCGCGAGTACTGGTCGCAAATAAAGATCCTCCTCCTCTAAATGATGAAATCAAATGGAATATACAACACTACCACCAACCATCGCCATAACCCCTTCTCGTCTCGAGATATGTCCACGACGATCACCAACTTTCTCTTTTAATGAAAATGAAAATAAAAAAAGAGGAAAGGAATGAAAAAAAAAAAACAAAAAAAGAAAAAGAAATAATGGCCGACGCCATTGGATTCTCGTCTGACGAAGTCCGGTTTCGAATTCACAAGAGAACAAACAAACACACACTGATATAACGGAAATTCGTAAAGGTACCATTTGAAGGCTTTCTATATGTAACATATAAGAGTACCAATGTATTAAAAATGGCTTTTGATCTATACGAAAGAATAACCCTTTTCTTTCGATCCCTTCCTTCTTTCATTACTCTCTCTTTGATGTGTGTATGTACACATTTAAGAATACGTACGTTTAGAAAATGATAAAAAAAAATCTACTTATTTTGTTGACTCTATCGATTGGTAATTAATTGAGATTTTTGTATTGAAAGTTATGCGTATACGAGAAGTAGTTGAAAAGTTAAATTGAAAATTTGCCTAACCACCAGAGACGTTTGGGCATTCTTAATTCCATATCTGTATATTATTTTATCATTTATACAATTTCGAAATTATCTTCCGACCGATTGAAAGAAAATGATCGAGGAATAAATGCGCGGGTGAAGAAAGAAAGAAAAAAAAAAGGAACCTATTTGAAATAAAGTTGTCAAGAAAAAAGGGAAGAAAAAAAGATCACGCGATTTTCCATGCGAATCAACGAAACGTTACGACCACTCACGAGACCCCCGATAACAATGATTATGGGAAGAGTTCTCAAGGAACTAAACTATCGGGTTTGTGCTGCTCGAACAATGCATGCACTGCCATTAACGTTTATCGAAAACGTCTTTCTTTTGCTGTACCACCATCACTACCAACCAACCAACCAACTCAATAACCAAGTACAACAAAGAAAAAAAAAACTTGTCTCGAAAGAGAGATATCTTTATCTTAACATTTCTATGTCCCCTTCATTGAAAACTTAAAATTCTATTTGTGTTTTTCAACGGAAATGTTTTTATTCAAAATTAATAATAATAGTAATATAATATCAACACACGCAATGAAAAGATAAATTTATTATAGTAATATCTCATTGGATTCGTTTCATAGCATATATACACCATACATATATATAGTTGATTATTAATCGCTATCGAAGGAACGTTAATTGACGACAATAAATTTCATTGGCGTTGGGAATAGGATAGAATAGAGAGAGAGAGAGAGAGAACGCAAAAATAATGTCGTCGCCGGTTTGTAATGCGCAGAAAAAGAACGCATGTGGGGCTCTATTTAAAAAACAAGATCTATCTTTCTAAACCCTCCCTCCCTCCTTCCCTCCTTCCTTCCTACCCACCCTCATAACGTATAACAAATAAAACGAATGGAGACGGTTTTTTTGGTCGTTTTAAAATCGCCAGTTACCATATTGTTTT